GACTCACGTGTGTGTTATTTTTAATCTGAATGACTGCATGCTCATTCACAAACACTCAGCATGAAGATGGAATAGATTACATCAGAGAATCCCTCAACCTACTAAACTTGAAAGAATGTCTAATCTCAAGGAAGTGGTTTCTGTGTTTGTAAAGAGGAAAAGGAACTGACTGGAGAATTAATGTTTTTAGAATATTTAGATATTTTGAAAACAATGGTTTTTGTTTGGTTGGTTGTTTTTTCTCTTTTAAAAACATGCATGAGGCTCAAATACATGCAGACAAGGAGTAAATACATTAATAATGAAAGACCCCAGGAAAACTCAGGCCTCTAGGATCTCAGCCCAGGACTAAGGTCACCCCAATCACCAGGCAGATTCAAAAGCTTGATGCAAACTGCACGAGGCTTTATTGTTGTTTAACGAGCTAACCCCATGTTAGCTCGGGGTCTTTCATCCATCCATCATGGTGGATGGCTACAAAAGACATCTCAAACCGGCTGCATAGAGATCTGTAGGGCAGCCTAAGGGGAGTGTCTAGGGGTACGCACAGGCTCAGGATTGGTGTGCCTCCAGGCTTGGAGGGCTTGCCCTGTGTTGATTGGCCAACTGGTTGTTATGGCCCATAGGCCCTCCCAGGGTTGTTGCTATGCTCTGCGTGTCATTGCTGTGCACTTGTCCATAAAGCACACCCAGAGCCGTAAAGCATGGCGCCACCAGCTAACTTCTGATTGGTTCCTTGCCACGAGGTAGGCATCTGACTTTCTAGTGACTAGGACAAGGTCAGACAAGCATGTGTTCAGCTGTCAAAAAAGGGCAGGCATCTGACTTTAGTGACTAAGACAAGGTCAGACAAGCTGTTATGGCTGCCGAAATGGGGAGCTGTTCCCTTCAATGGAAAAATATTCCAAAACTAAGTAGAAAGATGGCTATCTAGGAAGATATAAGGATGGGAATTTTTTGAGTCCTTGAGTATAACAGGTATTATTGATTTTTCAGATGGATTTACTGGCCCTTGGGAGAGGGTGGGTTTACTGTGAGAAGGCAGCCAATATGGAGGAGGCAAGGTCCAGAGGTGAAGCTCAGGCGTCCACCCAGGCTCCATTTCCTGACGATGTCTTCAGTCTCTGTTTCATGATGATGGCCCCATGAAGACTTATCAAATGGAAGTCAGTTAATTGCATATTAGATGAAGATGCTCCTTCCCTGTCTTTGCTTTTCAGTTTTTATCCTTTCCCTTCTTCCGAAGTACAAATGATTGAGGTTTACAATGGTATTTCCAGTCCTTTCTCTTCATGTAACATTACCCATTAAAAATATTTTCATTCCTTCCCTTGGCCAAGTTGAGTGCTCCTCAAACACAGAAACTCTGCAGTAGCTGTTAAACCAAAATTAGCTCTTCAAAGAAATATTTAGCCTGGCATTGGTGGCACACACCTTTAATCCCAGCACTTGGGAGGCAGAGCAGCCAGACCTCTGTGAGTTTGAGGCTAGCCTGGTCTACAGAGTGAGTGCCAGGATAGGCTCCAAAATGTACAGAGAAACCCTGTCTCAAAAAGCCAAAAAAAATAAAAGAAAATATATTTTTATTAACGTATATGTGTAAATGTTTCTCTGTGTATATATCACATTTGTTCAGGTGCCCTCAGAGGCTGGAAGCGGGAGTCAGATCCCTTGGAATGGAGTTACAGGTGGTTGTGAGCTGCCCTGTGGGTGCCAGGGACTTGAGCAAGTCCTCTGGAGGAGTAGCCAGTGCTCTTAGCTGCAGAGCTGTCTCTCCAGACCCACAAGCTTGGTTCTTAGTATAGAGGTCAGAGGGTGCCAAAATGTTTGAAGTACATTTTTCTTCCAGTGAAAGGGAAGTAATCCTACCATGTCTAAAGTATAAAATTCAAATTAGTGGGATAGAAACAAGTAAATACAGGAGCGACTTTTTTAGTACCATCTACCTCCTTACCACAGGGAGGCATGTCAACAGAGACTTCCATAAACCAGGAGACTCTGAGGCCCCAGAGCTGCAGCTTGTGAGAGGGGTGCATGCCCTGGCCCAGCAAAGTCAGCTTGTGACTTAGCATAGGTACTACATAGACAATAAGTGAATCTGAAAATCAGAGGCAAAGATGATGGTTAGCAGACTCCTCGGATAAAGTCAGCTAGACTTGAGCAAGTACACAATATAACACATGATCACTTTTCCTATGATGTGGAAACCATCACTAAAGGTGTTAGTTTTTATGTGTACACCATACTGGGAACAAAGCTCCTTTTCATTTTATTCCCGTGTCTTTAACAGACACAGCTTGTTCCTACAGATTCCTAACAGCCCTGAGGTGCTGACTTGACAGGTTCTGAGCTGCCTAGTGTTTATTTGAGTCATATCTTTGTTGGTGTTGGCACACCCTGCCAGTGGTTAGTGTGTGCCCAAGAGCTATGGCTGTGACTGTAGTTGAGTAACCATGAAAGGACGTGCCTCCCAGGAGGGATTTTGTTGGATAAAATTACTCTACTTTAAGACACCATTCCTGGAGGAGATTAATGATTAAGGCTATGTAGTCCTGATTGTTACCTATTAAATTCACTGAATATTTATGCAGTAAAGCAAGCAGGGGCATATTCAGTTCAAGGAAAGTTTCAATTCAACCCTCAGAACAGGGCTCCTATATGTGAGATTTTAAGTATGCACGCTTTCTAATCTGCATAAGAACCCAAAAAAATTGAGACTAGAAACAAAAAACAGGAATGAAC